CATAACCCAGGCCTTAACATGCTTGAGTCAGCGAACCTCGACAATTGATGGGTTGCAAGCATTCCCAAGAGAGTTAAAAGACAAAAACATGGCGGCCATTGTGGTCCCGTTAACAATGGATGCTAATAAAAAAACTTTTGTTAAATGGCACTAACACTCCCCCCGAGAGGCCGCGATGACGTAACGTGCAATCGAAGAATATGTTACACATAATAGGATGAACAATAAAGCAAGTTTGAACAAATTCACGTCTGATGATAATCATTGTCTGCATGATCTTCTACCGCAGAAGCCGCAAACTGCTGCGTAATCGAGGCCACAATTTACGAWTTTGGGCGACTTAGAAAATTTCGAGTATGACTAAAAGACAGATTAAGCTTCCCATTTTTCCTTCCCGCAAACGGCAAACGTGACCACGTTTTCATCATTTCCCTACAATTCACTTTACCTTTTGCAAACCTTGTCGACAATAGGATAAGTATTCTTTTGTTTATCTACTAGTTGGAGATTTTTGCGATTCCTTTTCACTAATTTCAAAGAATTTTTTAATGGTCAACTGAAGTTTCACGTTTGCCGTAAACGAGAAGCTTAACCTCTCTATTGTCAAACATTTCTCACAAATACGAGATCGAAATAAATATAATAAAATCATGATGCATGATACATGACTTTTATTCATTATTTGCATATCGCCGCGACAGTTGCACTGGTGAATCCAACTGAATCACGCAGATCAAAAGATCAAGCGAAAACTAAAAAAACACGTTGAAATTTGTCTCTGTATGAGGAGCCCAAAAATAAATGTAGACTATGATCTCAAAACCCTTATAAATCCGAAATCCAAGATCCGAAGGCGACCAAGTGGAAAATCCGGATCTAATTGATTATCCGCAATGAATCCGCATGATCCTGATGCAGAACTGGTACTACTCATACTACTCATATGCATACCCTACACTATTTAATTTTCCTTTGGATTGTGAATTAGCCTTTGTACTAGTATCTCCGAAAAATAAACTAGCAGGGAGACGAAAGAAAAAATAACATAACATTGAAAAAAAAAAATCCGTTGACCTTCCCCTCCATGTCTTATTGCGTGACCGGTAAATATCGATTTCCCTATTTTGGGTTTCCTGTGGTATATTCCTCATAGTCTTAACTTTTTACGTACGAACTTGAACTATTATTTCCAAATTGTTTAAAATTGTRATAAGTAGTTGAAGCAAATGGCGTATTCTTGTAGTTATGAAACTCCAGAGCCTGAAAACACACAGTTGGTCAGTAAGTTAGGCAAGGAGGTCGAGCTGAAAACCTTCAAAACCAATGCAACAGATCAGAGACCGGAAATGGATGTACCTCGGTCGATACATAAAAGACTTTGTATTTTATGTGTTGGTGACTGGACTGGTGGTAAATCAAAACAGATTTATGTAGACCATTACATGGGAAATAAAGGAGGTACAGACCTACCTATAATTGGCGCAGAATTTCGTCTGTACGAAAAGAAAGTCACCTTACCAGTTTTATCCACACGTCAACAAAGAACTATATTCGTGATGTTGGGTGAACGGGAAAGGCACAGCCGAATGATGAGAACTTATTTGAAGATAGGACCTCCTGTTGGGACTGTGGTATTTTGGGGTCCAACGATGCCTTCTTCTCTCGATGGAGCAGTAAAATGGAAAGAAGCCGTTCAAGAAAATCTACCATCTGCCAAAGACGATCACTTTCCTTTCGTGTTACTCACTGACAACACTTGTTCCGTACAATGGCTGGGAGAAAACAAGATATTCAAAGACAAACAAGCAATGGACAGTTTTTGTGAACAAAATGGGTTTCTAACATGGTTTGAAATGCTAGAAAGCAGCGAAAGACTTGGTGAAGACAATGTGTTTGGTCGAGCAGTTGACAGCATTGTAAATATTGAAAAAAGTTTCATTTAAGAGAAGAAGAGTTGGAAACAACACGTTACTTCCCTTTTCCTACTGCTCATTGAGTATAAAAAAAAAAACAAACACGTTATATATAGCTGAAAAAGCGAGTAGGAGGATAAAGCTACACCTACCTGAGCTAGAAAGGAAAGTTACTATTACTAGTATCGATGGTTTTCACAGTCGCCATGTTGGATGAATTTAACCAAAGATTCGTCATTAGTCTATTTTGTTATATCATCCAACATGGCTGCCATGTCTTTGGTTATTTTTATTCTCGTGGGAAAGATTGCAAACCATTAATACTTATACTATTTCTTATTATTATTCTTATTAATATTATTAAATATTATTTGATACTCAAACGTTAGCCCTACATGGCTATTTGGCGGAAACATTTTCATTGGTGAACAAAATATCAGAATAAACAAATAAAGGAAAATTAGAGAAAAGAAGAAGGTTAAGTAAAAACAGAGCAATAATAATACTCAATAGATCCTTTTCGAGTTCCAAATTACCGCTGTGTTTCTTGATTATAGACTCATTTGCACAGGGTTAGCCTCGAGTTTGTGCAGAATATTCACGTGTTCTAGTCAAGGTCCGTCGAGTTTCAAAATGTTTGTATTGTTGAAGTTGTGCATTCTTTACTTTTCTGTTGGTATTTGTGAATATTTAAACACTGATACGAGGCTAACCCTGTGCAAATGAGTCTGTAATCAAGGAACACAGCGGTAATTTGGAATTCGAAACTGGTCTATTCAAATTGAACTCGCTCTATTTTTGTTGAATGACTGAACACTGTGCATCAATGTCAAGTACAATAACCTCTTTGAGTCTATTTAATGTAAAATCCGACCAGCTGTGAAATCCAAAAGTATAATGGAAACTGTATTTCATATTTTGTTTTACATTTACAATAGACGACTTGCACTAAGAGGTCACGTGATCAAATCGGCCATTGTGGCTGGCATTCTACAGGATTTTAGCTATGCGAGAATGTGAAAAAAGATGGCGGATTCAGGTAGTTTTTTGACGATAATAGGTAAGTTATCGCACTAAATAACGATAAAAATCCCTTTTTCTCGCAAGAAATATATTCTTAGTTGATATCTAAAGTAGGTTTTTGCTATTAACTACTTGCCAAAAAGAAAAAAACATGGTATTTTTGCGCTTCAATGTGAAGACCTACGAAGTGTTTAGTCTTGTTTTGCAGACTTCATGACCTCAAAACAACGACTTCTTGTCGAAAAATTTCAAATATTTCTCAACTTCATTCTTGAAAAATACATTTTTCTTGCAAGAAATATTCTTTTAATGGATACCTTAAGTAGATTTTTGCTATTCATTCGCCAGGAAGAGGAAAAACATGGTATGTTAGTGAAACCAGGAAAGTCAACAAATAGGGTTGAGTTGCTGGTAGTAACAATAATAATCATGTACAGTGCTTACAAAAACCCCATGGAGGACAGATGCCTTACTAAGACCCCATGGGAAAAGTTGTCTTATTGGTACCCAATGGGAGAAAGTTGCCCTACTGGGACCCCATAAGGGAAAGTTACCCTACTAAGACCCCATGGGGAAAGTTGCTCTACTAAGACCCCATGGGAAAAGTTCTCCTATTGTATGGATAGAGTTGTCCTACTGGGACCCCATGGGAGAAAATTGCCCTACTTGGAACCCATAGGGGAGAGTTACCCTACTAAGACCCCATGGGGAAAGTTGCTCTACTAAGACCCCATGGGTTAAAGTTGCCCTACTGTGATCCCATAGGGGAAAGTTGCCCTACTGGGACCCCATGGGTTAAAGTTGCCCTACTGGGACCCCATAGGGGAAAGTTGCCCTACTGGGACCCCATGGCTGAAAGGTGCCCTACTGTGACCCCATAGGCGAAAGCTGCCCTACTTGGACCCCATGGGTAAAAATGCTCTACTGGGACCCCATTTGGACCACTTTTGCAAAATTTATAATGTAGGGTATAAAAGACTGGTAGAAGCAAAATTAAATCCATCTAAGGTCATTCAATGCATTTATTCTTATCCCGCTAAAGACCAATATCTATTCAACAATATTCTCAAAAATTCATATAATCAAATGAAATATTTATATTTTAATTCAATCGATCCTGACTTAAATAAGCCCAGAGATTGTTTCAGGGTTTGATTTTTGAGTTAGCTGTGCCATGACTTAGATCTGCCCAGAGATGTTTAAGAGTTCAATGTGTGAGCTAGCCATGCCCTGAATTAGATCAGCCCAGAGTTTGTTTCAGGGTTTGATCTGTGAGTTAGTCGTGCATGTCCTGACTTAGATCAACCCAGAGGTTGTTTCAGGACTCAATCAGTGAGTTACCCATGTCCTGACTTAGATCAGCCCAGAGGCTGTTTCAGGGTTCAATCAGTGAGTTAGCCGTGCCCTGACTTAGATCAGCCCAGAGTTTGTTTCAGGGTTTCATCTGTGAGTTAGTCATGCCAGTGAGTTATATCAGTCCAGAGGCTGTTTCAGGGTTCTATCTGTGAGTTAGCCATGCCCTGACTTAGATCAGCCCAGAGGTTGTTCCAGCGTTCGATCTGTGAGTTAGCCGCATGCCCTGACTTAGATCAGTTCAGTTTTCTCAAGTTTGGGAGCGCATTAAATCTTGACGGATCACAAAACTGAAAAACGCAAATTCAGTTGAATTGATCGAAAAGCCAGTTTCATATTAAAAGAGAAGAATAATCGATTTTATGAATTCTTATCGAAAAATGTCAAAGAAATGTTTGATAATTCTCATTATAAAGGTCCTGCTCGGGTAACGTGGCCCGTCAAATTAATTTCTTAAATTTGGATGCGAGCGCAACCTTGAAAAAAAGGTCTATTATTGGACGATGTTGAGCAAAATATTAGTCGTGATTTGTTAGTGGCCCGTAGGCACTAACAAATTCACGATATTTTGTGATAACCGAGTTCAATAATTGTTTTATCATTTAAATCAGTTTTTTCTTTGTTTCACCCCACCCCCTGTTTTTGCTGCCCATTAAGTTCTGACAACTGGGGACAGCGAGCCATGTTTCCGCAAATGCTGCATGACTATTATTTACAGCCAAAGGACTTTACTTCATAATGCTCATGAGCTGAATATTATTGGTAGGTAGTTATTTGCAGTTATCTTGGCCAATCAAAACGACGGAAAAGAGAATTTGAATGACAATAGCATTCAATCACACATGATGTACTAAATATATAACTTGCAGCATAGCTGATTTGTCGGTGTAAAATGTCGTTTTCAGCAAGTACAAGGACTTTTCATCAGCCGACCAGTAATTAACCCTGATAGTAAACCATAAGATACAAATGTATTGGAAGAAAACATCTACGAATGCTCTTCCTGTTGCAGAGAAGATCCTTTTGGTGCACGTGATTGCCATCGCGCTAATTGGTTACCGTGGTTACCAATTGCATGAATTTGCCGTTGTTCACGTGAACATTTGAATATCAGTCGTGTCAAGGCTTTCCTAAAATCTCCCATTCCGAACACATAGATTATTGGATTGATTAGTGAGTTGGTGCGTTGAATCAAAATTAATATAAATCTAACAGTATAAGATATTCGATTAGTTGTAATCTTTTCAGTAATACGCCCAGCGACGAATGGTAGCCATGTTATTAAAGACAAGACAGTAGCTATAAAGAGCGTCATTGCAAGATGGTGTTCACGTTTCTGTCTTATTTGTATGGCAGCTGTTTGTTGCTGATTTGGTTGAAGTCGCTTTGCTTCGATCTTGACTTTGATAAATATTGCCGAGTATGACGTGAAGATGATAATCAAGCAAAGAAAATACAACGAAAAAATGAAAAGAACAGAAAACACCTGAAGAGCTTGTCCTCGTAGAACGAAATTGTGTATGATTACAATACTTATAGATAGGACAGACGTTATGGCAAACACTGCACAATACTTTCTGAGTCGTGTTGTTCGATGTTCAAAGGGAAAGTACGTTGCGTAGACACGGTCAAGAGAAACCAGAACCAAGGAGAACAAGGACAATGCAAGAGAGATATCAAAAAAGATGTACATAATATTCCGATAAACCAAGTCATGAATTAGCCCTTTGTATTCTCCAATGATTATTAAAGATTCTGTGAGGTGAAGAATTCCATGCAACATATCAGCCACTGCTAAGTTAATCAGGCAGTACACACTACGACGACGAAGATGTCTGTTGATAACAAATATGACAATCGTAGCGAGATTCAAAACAACGATCAGAAAACCAATTACTAAGAAGGCATGCAACCAAGCGAGGAAAGTTGTCTTGGGGAAAAATACGGCTTTCGTGGATAAGTTGCTGCTATTTGACATCCTTTCCTTTAATAATCTGTACCTCACTAAACACGGGTCCGGCTCTGAAATAACTCTAGGCCTATACTAGCTGAAAATAAAATGCAAAAAGAAATATTAGCGGAGCTCCCGCGCGGGCCGAAGGCCTCCGGGAGCTGAGCACCATACTTAAGAAAAAAGATAAAGCATGAAATTATTTTTTATGGCTTGGATGACGTCACTTCCGTCTGTCCGTCCGTACGACGTACGTATGTCCGTGTACACAACACAGGGATCCCACTTGATGTCAAAGCAAAACTATTCGCTAATGCGGCTCTCAAATGCACAGCAAAAAATTGCTTTATGACAAATTATAGACCAACAAAAAAAAAATTCATGTAGTCAAAGATAGATCAAGAAGTTTTCTTCAAGAATTCAGGTGTGTTTTTTTAGCAAACATTCATATATTATCCTTTTTTATGAAAAAAAGACATATTTTTCAACGAATCGACAAATAAAAAGCTTTGTTCGCCTCCTATCGCGGGGTCCTATTGGCAAACCAAAGTAAAATTTTCATTCAATAACTTTACAATTAATTCATTGAATATTAAATGAAATATAAAATTACACCAAATATTCAACTGTTTATTAAGTTGTTTGAGTTATATACAAATGAGCTTACATTTGTGTTGTTGAGAGATATTATTTTATAATAAAGAAGTACCTTGTCTTTCTCTTTAAAAAGCTAAAAAATATTCAAAATATTCAACTGTTTATTAAGTTGTTTGAGTTATATACAAATGAGCTTAAATTTGTGTTGTTGAGAGATATTATTTTATAATAAAGAAGTACCTTGTCTTTCTCTTTAAAAAGCTAAAAAATATTCAAAATATTTACAAATGACAATTTACTGCCCAAAAAATTCGCCATTTTGCATCATTTTTCATTCTGTCACGGTTGTTCTTGTCAAGTTTAACTGAATGTAAACTTTATTTCGAAAACTTTTGTTGTTCGTGCTTTTCGTATCTTTTTCACACATGAAAACAGATAAAATTGGTAAAATACAATCTCAAAATCTAGTAAGCTTAAGTTTTCATATGGAAGAAATAAAAACATATTAATGAAGAATTAGGATAAGAAAGCTGATGACACATTTGGTCTTAACGTTCAGGGCCTTCATTTCTCAAGTTTAGTTAGTTGATGATCTCCAGACAATATTTTCTCTCTGATCTGATGCTACCAAAGTATTTGTTTTATTTTGTTTCGTTTTGTTTTTTGTTTGTTTGTTTGTTTGTTTGTTTT